CTATACATTTTTTACTGTTGTTAAACGAACAAATAAATAGTTCATTTTCTTTTCGTCTTCTCTATTGACACGATAGTAAAAAGTTCAATAAAACTTGGCAAAAAGAAGAAAAGTAATTCTATTATTGATAAAGGTAAGTGTCGATAGACAAATTTAAAAGTAGAGAAAAGACGGTAATACTATTTACGATAATCGATTGAGACAAAAACAAGCTGGCAGCTATATATTTAAACTTATTATTCATTCTCTTTTTCTTTTCAATCGATACGATATAAGTACGACTCATTTTCTATAGTTCATCTACTTGTAATGTTTGTCGATTGATTCATTTAATTTGAAAAGATTTGAATAAGTAATAGAGAAGAAAAAAAAAAGACGAAACAGTATACATGTGTCAATATTCATCATTTGCACTCTGTTAGTTTATTGAGTAGTACACATCACGTTCATTACGTTAATAAATTCAGTAAGTAAAATTATTATAGAAACAAATTCATGTTAAACTATCGATAAATATAATTTATTTTTTCATTGTTTAGTAAAACATCGATTAAGTATATAATTTATATTTAATAAGTTTTCAATAAGAATTGTAATATCAAGTATTTAATACGATTATAGTTTTTTTTATACTATAAGTAGATATTTGAGTATTATTAATATAAGTAGAGAGTCGAGATATGTTATCAGAATAATAATAGAAGATCTCAATGAAATGAAAGGCGACTACAAATTTTTTACCCAGGAATGAGAGATATGTAGGTTTGTAGAGAAAAATTTTCTCTAATAAATGGTATATATGCCATTGGATTCTGTTGAGTACCGTAAAAATCGATTTTTGGCTTGAATTCAAGCCAATTAGAGACCTGCATCGGAGTCAACTAAATCCCTTGCCTATAATTCATTTTGTTTTTTTAGGTGAAGGTTTTGTTCTCTGATATTTACCCTACAAACTGATGTATTTGGAGGGTTCAAATCAATGTTTTAGTCAGGTTCACGGACACAAAAGAAAGTTGAATGAATGTCTCTAATTGATTTGAATTCAAGCCAAAAATCGATTTTTACGATACCCAACAGAATTCGATAGAGAAAAATTTTCTCTACAAACCTACATATCTCTCATTCCTGGGTAAAAAACTTGTGGTTGCCTTTGACTTGAACATTCATAATATAGGTTTGGGCTTATTTCTCGGTCTCTTTCAGAATTTTAACCCTGTGGTTACGGATCACCCATATATAGTATTTGAAGTTCTGCAGATATTACTGTCATTACAATATCATTTGGGCTCGATCGAAAAGGCTCCTTTCTTTGACGGTGAAGGTGTGGGTGTGGGTTAGTTAAATAAGATACACCCACACTCATTTTTAAAGGCTTCTATGTATTAATAAAAGTTATTTCAGACTGTTTTAGAACAAAAAAAAACCTCGTAACCAAAGGGTTAAAAAAGTGCAGCCAGACAAAATACTTATAACTTTTTAAGAGTTCTATGACCTTCCCTAGTAGTTATCAATGTATAGCATATGATTTAATACTCGAAATAAAAATCATAATCTAATAAAAGTAAATAACCCTTCATGAACACAGGTTATGTTTTATTATAATTCTATCTATGTGTTATGAAAATAATTTTTTTTTTCTACAAATATAAAATCGTTGATTTAAGTATCTTTCAATGACTTCAATAGACAGTTTTTATTCGATATTTAACTTATAAAATATATATGAATTAATTGTTAGAATAACAAACTATATACATCGACAATGAAAAGATCAGCAAATATATTTATATTTACTATTGTATAAAAACTAAGGAGCGAATGAAAGAACTTCTTTTTTTTCGTATAAGTATTTATCAAACATTTATAGTTTCAAGAGATTACCTTTTTTGTATTCATAATGAAAAAGAAAAATGTCATGGTTTATTTAGGAATTGAAAGAAGAAGAAGAAAAAATTTTTTTTTGTTAAATAAGAACATCCAATAAAATTGTTTAACTTTTATTTTCTTAATCAGATATAACAATAACACATTACTGTCAATAAATTATGAAACGATAAAATTTCTTTCTTTTACAAATTATGTTCTACAACGGTCAACCTTCGCCGTCAAATAAATGGCCTTCAGTAGTACAATATCCAAATTATCAATCCGATCGGGTAACATTAAAAAAAAGATCATTTATTATTTGAATAATATGTATTACATTTTTGTCAATAATAATTTTCTATCTCAGTAACTTATGCTTTGAAAAATCATTAAAAAAAAGTTATAGTTTCACATTTTTCTTCGGAGTTAACCGCACGCATTAAGAATATATAGATGAAAAGTTACCTATTCATGGCAAGAAATTACTCTAATAATTAAATTTTGAGTTTTTCTTGTTTTTTTTCTAGCCATCAAAAATTCATTGGTTTCTTATTTTGGCTATTGTTTTACTTATATTAAGTGTTGCAGCTTTAATTATTGTATTTGCTGTTGAACATGCTTGGTTTTCTGATAGTTATAATCAAACATCAAATCATTATGGTCTTTGGCGTTTGTGTTTCTATGCCAATCAAACATGTGACAGTTGGTTTTCAACGAATGGACCTAACACTTATTATATTGATCAACGTCATAGTCGAGATAGACGTAAAAATAGAAATTTATTGAATTTTTAATTATTTGATTTGTTTTTATAGTTGGTATCAATGCCTGGCAAGCACTTGAAATTGTCTTTCTATTTTTAACAACATCAACATTAATTATAGCTTTGATTTCTATTATTTGTTATCAATTAAAAAAGAATGTTCATTATTATTTAGCAATTTTAGCAGCATTTTCAATTTGGCCAGCAGGTAAGACTAAATTATTTTCTCGTGCTTATGATAAATCAGTTGTACAATAGAATTTCATAGATACGCATACGTACGGAATAAGGTTTTTTTCTTTATACAGACTAGTTACAAAACTTCTCTATAATATTGATCTAGTGTGTGTGCATCGAATGAATTGATTATTGATCAGTAGATCTATTGAAAATCATTGTATTATAATGAATTTAAATAGCTGAAATATCTTGAAAACTATTTATATGATCTTCATCTTGTTTAAATATACTTATGGGTATTTTTTTTTCAATAGTATGTATGGGTATAGCGGCATTATTTGTTTTTGGTTTTGCCGTATACAATGTATCACAAGCACCGCATGCTCTTGACTGGTGTTTTTATGTTAATCTTGTTGCTGTTATTCTATCGACAATTAGTGCTATACTTTTAACAATCTATGCTATGTCACTTAAAAAACCAATACAGTATGTTGTTTTTGCTTTTGAAATTTTCATTCTATCGTCAATGTATTTCTTTTATAAAGAATTAATCGAAATGATACTGCTATTGATACATTTGCTGATCTTAATGATTATTCATCAACATTAAATCCATCGACATATGTTGTTGTTAGACGAAGTAAGCAAAATCGAAAAGAACCTTATGATTATCCACAAGTACTCTATCCGCAACAATATTTTCCATCGAGAATGCTTCATAATACGATTAATACGGATTATATAACTAATCCTAATCATCATATGCTTACACCGTACGCATCATTAATGACTAATCAACAGAAGAATCCATCTTTACAACAACAACCATCAATGAATCAATATCGAAATTCAGGTCTTTTAACATCTCCTTCAACAACTTCCCTTCCACCACAAGCACAATTTTATCAACCACCAATATCATCCTATCCATATCAACCAGCACATTGGCATCGAACGGGACAAAATTATAATAATGAACCTTCTCATGATTATATTCAACGAGGTATTTATCGACCAGCTCGATTAAATCAAAGTGAACGAACATATGAACCAAATGATGAACCACGTGTATTACATTATTATACAGGTTATGATCATTTTTCTGCTCTTGATTCAAGTGATGTTGTTTTAGCAAGACATCATCAATCTTTACCAAGATCCAATTCACCAGTACGATATACTGTTAATCCTCCTTACTTTCAACAAGATACATATTTAAAAAGTGCATTGTAAATTTGAATAGAAGAGAAAAAAAATACATGTTTGATTGATTCTTTTTTTTTTAAATTATGGCAATATACAGTTTTTATATCGATGTATGAAAAGTTTTTCGTTAATGGTCCGTGTTTACATAATAAAAATATGTGTTTTTGCCTTTTAGAATAAATATCATTTTTCTATAAAGATAAACAATGTATATCTTAATCAATTAAATTATTCATCGTTCTTAATATTATTTTATTTTTGTGGTAAACAATATAGATATCAAACATTTAAGTTTGTTCAAATATAAACTATCACATATAAATATTAATCGACAAAAAAGTGATCTTCACATGTAAACTCTAAATTTTGAGCTCATTTACGTCTACATACTTTATTTATTAAATGCACTCCATTTTATATGAGTTTAATAACTCATTTTCTAGTATAATTCTAGCTAAAAATCTAGATCGTATCTTATCTTCAAATATAAAACTGTAATTGAATAAATGATACTATTTCTAACACATTAGAAATAGTAAGAACTGTTGTGAAATGAGCTTTCAATTTCGAGTTCACCTTATGTGGAGATCACTTTTTTGGTTACAAATAATTAACTTTCAAGTAATTTTTTT